ATAACTTTTAAGTTCCCTTTGTAACAATTGGTTATCTGCTTCTGATTTCAAAAAAACAGAAATATCATCTGCATAAGCACAAACTTTGACTCTCTCGGAAACACCTTCTACTTTCACTTCTAGGCCTTGAAAATTAAGGTTTCCTTTTATTTTCCTTAATAGAGGGTCAATGCTAAAAACATAAAGCAAAGGACTTATAGGACAACCCTGACGAACTCCAGATTCAACCTGAAAAGGGTCTCCCAAACTACCATTAATTAAAGGGAAACATATTGCTTCTTTATATAATATCTTCAACCATTTAATAAAAGTATTAGGAATGCCATATCTCCGTAAAGTCTCAAATAAAAATTCATGATGTACTCGGTCAAATGCTTTGGACTGGTCTAGTCCTACCAAATAAATACCTTCTCTCTGCTGCTTAGCATATTCCACCACCTCTCTTACTAGCAACAGTGTATCCTGTATGCTACGATTCTTAACTGCACACGACTGACACGGACTTACCAAAATTTCAGCCACCGCACTAAGCCTCATAAACATGACTTTTGCAAGAATTTTGTAATCAGTATTCAATAATGATAACGGACGCCAGTTCTTTAGTTCATTCAAATTACCACTTTTAGCTAAAAGTACCAAGACTGAGGCATACTGTGAGGGCGGCAACTGTCCCAGAGTTAGCACTTCATTATATAGCATTACAAGATCCGTTACCAAAAGATCTAAAAACACTTTATAAAACTCTGCAGTTATCCCATCCAATCCTGGACTTTTCTTCCCAACTAATGATTGAATGCTATTTCTAACTTCTTCCTCTGTTATAGGCTTAACCATGGTCTCAGCATCCACTGCATTTAATACCGGATTATCAACATCTTGCAAATATTTTACAATATTTTCATTTGCAATAGGCTGTCTTGCAAACAATTGTTTAAAATATTTTGTGACAATATTTATAATGTCCTTACTTTCTGTTTGTGTTTCACCATCTTGATCTACCAGTCCTGCTATGGCTTTCTTACATACTCTTTCCTTACACGCTTGAAAAGGATCTGGGGCTGTGAAACCCCAACTATCGAATTCATTTTCAGCTTTTAGAGAGATCATACGGTCATATTGAAGTTTTTTCATTTTATCCTTAACTTGATTAATGCTATTTGAATTCACTGTCTCACCATTATTGACCAAGGAATATAATCTACTAAGTCTAAGTCTTAGAGCAAGATATTGCATATATTGACGATTTCCTTCTTTTCTAGCTTTTGATTTAAAAAAACTTTTAATATCTTTTTTTGTTTGTTCCCACCAACTCGACATCGTGTCGTATAAGCACTGCGTGGTTTTTCGATCTTCATAAAAAGTAATGAATTCTTGCTTAACTTTATCATTATCAAGTATTCTTGAGTTTAGTTTCCAGATACCTTTCCCATATATTATTCCTTCCTTTACCTTTAAGGACAGACTAATCATATCATGATCTGAAAACTCTACCAAGACTAAATTATATCTAAAAGATGAAGTTTGATTTTTTACATAGAGTCTATCTATACGACTTGCCCACCTCCCTTTATGATATGTAAACCCTCGCTGTGTAGGATAATTATATTTAAAAGTATCAATCAGACCAGCTTGACTGATCAGAGTTTTTAGAAAGTTTTCATCATATTTTAAATTTTTATAATTACTATTTCGATCTTCATTATTTACCACACCGTTAAAATCACCTCCCATAATTAACACTTTGGATGTGAAACAATATGGTTTTACACTTAAAAACACTTTTTTCCTACCTGCTATTATCTGAGGAGCATATATATTAATTATTCGATATCTCACATCATTAAGCGTAAAATCTAACAAAAGGCATCTACCTGCAACAATTTCCACAATCCGATCAATTTGAAAATCACAGTTCTTAAACAAAATACCCACACCATCATAACTTTCCAGTCCAAATGACCAATAAGATGGGCCCATTGTCCACTCTCTTTTAGCACAAAAAACCTGGCTATTATTTCTTAATCTTGTCTCCTGTAATAAACACACATCAAATGATTGTTCTTTCAGAACAGTATAGAGTAAGTCTCTTCTCTCTTTTGATCTCAAACTGTTGACATTAAGCGAGCATATATGTAAAGTCATGAAAACCAAGGAGACTCAGCGCTTCTTCTTTACTGCTCCTATATTGTCACCTTGAGATCCCCATCGTTTTATTGAAACAGAGGCAGTTGCTTCTTCTTCACAGAACAACTGCAATTCCTCTGTGGATCGCCTTTTCCAGAGAGATCCTTCACTCTGTTTAAACTCCATGGCATCTTCACTAGGTTCATCCAGGATAGCATAGCGACCAGCAGTTATCTCAAATGACGAAAGCATCTGAGGAGGTTTTTGTGACTCACGAGTACCTGAATATTTTAATTTCTTCTTGTGTTTTCCTTGCACCAACTGAAATTCCTCACTGTTTTTTTCTAATATTGGACCCTTTTCAACATTTAATGGAGATTGTATTTCCTTGGCGTCTTTCCTTAAGATGTTTTCTGGCTCAGTAATGTCATCTTTCTGTGGCTCATTTGTATCTTGTTTCTCAGTTGTATTGGGCTCTTCCATTGCTTCAGTAAGTATACTTTCCAAATCTAGCACACAGTCGTTTATCTTATTATGGTGTGCTTCTGGGCACTCTCTAAAGGTATGACCTTGTACAGAACATAAGTTGCATATTACGTCCTGCTTGCATTCTGATCTCATATGGCCCAGACAGTTACATTGAGAGCACTTTATTTTATCACAGCAATAGGCCAAATGCCTTGTTGACCCGCATTTATAACAGCTTCTAGGCTGTCCTGGATAATAACAAATGCCTCTGTCCGTACCAATAAAAAAACTGTGTGGTAAATGATGAGTAACGCCCCCTGTCTGCCACAGTTTAACTTGCAGTTTCCATCCACCATTCCATAGCCCAATCTCATCATAAATCTTTTGTGGGTCACTCACAACTGTACAGTGTCTCTTTATCCAATACATTATGTCATTTAAAGCCACTACTTCTGTCTGGAACTGGAGATTGATAGACACTGTGGCCTGTTTTGTGAGTGGGATAGCTTTTATATTTTTCCAGATACCATCTGATTTTGTCCTATGGAAAATCACCCAAAACATATCCAGGTTCTGCATTAGTTTAAAACTAATGTCAAATTGTCTTGATCCAGGAAAGTGAATAAATGCAAATATTTCACTTGCAGAAAAACCCATGAATTCCATTAAGAGTTTGCGACCAATGAATATTCTGTCTGGAATATCAGGTTCTGGTCCTGTGAACAACAGGCGCACTGCATTCTTCCGCTTAGATACATCTCCCCTTGATCTTGCTACATTTGAAAACAAATTCCCGCTTGTTGCAGGTTGTTGTTGTTCATTTACCTGTGTGCTGCTCTGTTTGCTGGTTCCTGTTCCCATTTTAGTACCTGTATCCGGTCCATGTTTTTGTCCTTCTGGATTGCTAGAGTCAGTTCCAGATTGCAGATGTCTATCCGGTGATTCCTCCAGATTCTGCTCTGCTGTGGAATCCCTGCATTGTGTTGCATCTCTTGCAATGCTTACACCAAGAGGTTTTTGCAAATCACTTTCTTTCTCAATAAGTGTTTCCACAACACGCTTTATGCTCCTAGATCTCAGTTTATGGACAGTTATTTCATTTAAGCATTCAGGTATGGCAATGCTGAGGGCTGCTGGTTTATTGCACCCAGGTGAACTCTCAGGTTTACATTCAGCAGCAGCCTCTCCTGTTTGAGCAGGTAAAGTCACTGGGCACATTTTATCACTTAATTTCTTTATCATTACCCCTACTTGCTTGTCTTTTAGCGGTTGTGTGGGTACCTTCTTAATCTTTAATGGGTTTAACTTTTGCATTTTATAACATTTTCTTTCCTCACCTTTTATTGCACTTTTCAGTTTTTCAATGCTTTGCTCTTTTACATCCATTGCCGTTTGTAGGGAGTCGATCTCCACCTGGATCTGATCAATCTGCTGCAGAAAACCTGTTCTCTCAGATTCCTGGGTTACTTCATCCACTTTCTTTACCAAATCTTGCTTCTGCTTGTACAAATCATCATACATTGCACATAAAGTCTGATAATTAGCAGAAGCATCTCCCAGTTTTTTGTCCAAAACCGTCAAAGCTTTACTAATTAAACTTTCCTTAACAGGTCTCCTTTCGTTTGTTTGGGCTTCTTGGCCTTCCAACACCTCCAGGCCTGGGACTAGAGCTGGACTAGTATCCAGAACACCAACACTCCCCCCTGGGTCTGAGGCCATCCTCAGTCCCCCTACAGGAGCTCCAACACATAGGAGTTATAGGGAGAGGTTATATGGAGTAATAGGAGGAGTTATAGGGAGAGGTTATATGGAGTAATAGGAGGAGTTATAGAGAGAGGTTATATGGAGTAATAGGAGGAGTTATAGGGAGAGGTTATATGGAGTAATAGGAGGAGTTATAGAGAGAGGTTATATGGAGTAATAGGATGAGTTATAGGTAGAGGCTATATGGAGTAATAGGAGGAGTTATAGTGAGAGGTTATATGGAGTAATAGGAGGAGTTATAGTGAGAGTATATATGGAGTAATAGGAGGAGTTATAGAGAGAGGTTATATGGAGTAATAGGAGGAGTTATAGGGAGAGGTTATATGGAGTAATAGGAGGAATTATAGGGAGAGGTTATATGGAATAATAGGAGGAGTTATAGGGAGAGGTTATATAGAGTAATAGGAGGAGTTAGAGAGAGAGGTTATATGGAGTAATAGGAGGAGTTATAGGGAGAGGTTATATGGAGTAATAGGAGGAGTTATAGAGAGAGGTTATATGGAGTAATAGGAGGCGTTATAGAGAGGTTATATGGAGTAATAGGGGGAGTTATAGGGAGAGGTTATATAGAGTAATAGGAGGAGGTATAGAGAGAGGTTATATGGAGTAATAGGAGGAGTTATAGAGAGGTTATATGGAGTAATAGGAGGCGTTATAGGGAGAGGTTATATGGAGTAATAGAAGGAGTTATAGAGAGAGGTTATATGGAGTAATAGGAGGAGTTATAGAGAGAGGTTATATGGAGTAATAGGAGGAGTTATAGGGAGAGGTTATAGGGAGTAATAGGAGGAGTTATAGAGAGGTTATATGGAGTAATAGGAGGAGTTATAGAGAGAGGTTATATGGTGTAATAGGAGGAGTTATAGAGAGAGGTTATATGGAGTAATAGGAGGAGTTATAGCGAGAGGCTATATGGAGTAATAGGAAGAGTTATAGGGAGAGGTTATATGGAGTAATAGGAGGCGTTATAGGGAGAGGTTATATGGAGTAATAGGAGGAGTTATAGAGAGGTTATATGGAGTAATAGGAGGAGTTATAGGGAGAGGATATATGGACTAATAGGAGGGGTTATAGGGAGAGGATATATGGAGTAATAGGAGGAGTTATAGCGAGAGGTTATATGAAGTAATCAGGGCCAGATTAAGAGCCCAATGGGCCTGGTGCTGACAATTATGACGGGCCTAATTACAGAATCATATCGACCAAAAACAGTAAAACACTCCCAAGCGTCATGTATCTGATGGAGAGGGTGCTGGAGAGAAAGAAAACAGCAGCTATAATAAAACACATACCCTAGTCTAATCTCTCACTAATTTATGTTTTCATCTTTTAAGTAAATCCATAACCCCTAACAGCAGTGTCCAGTCAAGCAGGAAGTCAATGGGCACGGTAAAAGGGTGTGCCACTGACACAAATCAAATAAC